ACGATACCGTAGCAGTTGACCATCCATTGGTCGGACACCGTGATGGCTGGCCCAAGGGGGCACCAAGAGTTCTGGTAACAAGTGAACGAGACTGAAACGAATCATAAGAATAACTGACCAGATTTAACATCTCACTTTCCATCTGACGTCAATGCTCACTGGAATGGGTCTATTTGGGAATGGGGGTTGAGATGGAGGTGCTGAATGTCCCCTTTCCCTCTCGACTTGACCATCTTCCGCTTCGCAGACTGCCACATACGACCATACCCATTGGAAAACTCGGGATCCCGTCCGCTCTCCCATAGATAAGCCAATGAGGGCCGGATTAGTAGTTGGGTCGGTGACGACCAGCGAATACCTGGTGTTGTATGTTTCTCGTTTCCATTTTGGTGTTTTGATGTCTACTATGTGGTGGGCCATGGTGGGTGACGATAGCTTCGTTTTTTGTGTTGTTTGGAGCGGTGGTGCGGGGTTACCCTTCTAACTATGCAGGGGTGGCGTGACTAGCGCTGCCGACAAGGTAACAGCTTCCAGTGTCAACCCAAGTATCAGTGGGCGGGAGACATGCCCTTTTTTCTGATATATCGAAATCGTCTGTCTCTACAGCTCAGTGTAAGTTTCTCCATGTTATTTAAGATTGAGACTTTTTGTAAGTAGACAAGGTCAGATGTTATATGAGTTTCCCAATGTGTTTACGTGTATACATTCCCGTCTCGAACGGAAATAAATCCATATATGGTCTCGCATGGGAGATGCCGGCAGCTTGCAAGCCAAACTCATGAGTCTGTGTGAAAATCCTGTCCGTAAGATCCTATAACCTGCCAGGACAGCGGACCCCAAAGGAACACTCTGCCCTGACGTTCAGCTATAAATCGTCACATTCCCGTGGTCCATATCGTATTCCTCAAAACTAGATCCGATAGAAAGTTGCTTGTCGATCCAGGTGTAGAAGCTGTGGACGATTTATCAGCTCACTCATTGCACTAAATTCTCACTAATCACGGAGGTAGCGATTGACCCCGCTCAAATGAAGAAGGAAAAAGAACACTCACGAGCTCTCTTCACGGACCCTCGTTCCTCTCGTATTCGTCTTCACGACGCAGACGACGATGACGGAGCTTAAACGGGAGAACCACGTAAAAATGAGCTCTGATGAACTTCTGACTTCGAGTTGACACCTGTGAATAGATCGTTGATATAGACCGACCCTTTTCGAGCCACTGTTATTATCTGTATGTCACCTGCCGTGATTTATAACAAGGATAACTTTCTAGTCGGAGCTCTGTGAGTGGGTGCTTTTGGGCGCCGTATCATACCTGGGCGACCAGGATGAGGCAGGCACAGCCACTGCAAAGCTGGTATATTATCTCTGTCGTGATGCGACCGCTGAAAGGCCTGCCTTTCTTTCTTCCTAAGGCAAGCTTTACTGGTATGCCGCTTTTGATGGACACTTGAAGCCTATTACGTGGTGTGCTAAGACTGCTCAGTTCGTCTCGTCTCGAAAGAGTCGTTACTTTGTTTTGATATGCGTGCTTCCATGTTGGCTTTTTCAAAAACTGAATCTGACTATCAGGTTCATAGGTCGCCCGGCCTATAGGCAGATATAGGCGCGTGCGGACAAAGCAAACTCGGTCTTTGGCAAGCGATCAGGTCTTCATAACTGGCCCTGGATTTCACTATAGGCTCACAGGTGTGTTGCAGATCATCTGGAAGCATACGGGGTGGTGTGGAGGAGTTATTTATTCGTAAACTCATACTAAGACGTCTTTGGCTTGTGTGTCATTTTTAATCTTGGCAGATGGATAAAAGGACCATGCTTGAAGTACAGTCACTGGATCTTGAATCCAATCTTTGACCTGTATGAGTCCAAGTGATGGATGGCACCGGCAGGTCTTCGATTTTAATCGATCTACCAGCAAGACTGTTACGTTCCATGATCATGCCGAGCTTTAGAAGCATACATAGGGTCTCACTGAGTAAGGAATAATGCTGATACGATAAAAAGTGGTCCATCTTCTGGAATTTATGCGAAATCTGCGCGGCTCGCCTGCTTGTCGGGCTGAGTGCGAGTCTAAACTTGTCATTGATCCATCGGCTCCTTAGAGCTCAGGTAACATAGTGATGTATTGAGACCAGCCGTCTATGGGGGGAAGGTTGAGCAAGTTCAGGTTAAGATCGATGACGACTTTGGACTCAGAAGCAAATATTGAAGTAAACGTAAATATTCGCTCTTCTGAACCGGTATCCGGGCAGCAATCCCGCAGGAATGAGGTGATATGTGGTCTCGAAAAGTCGTAGGGTGAGGGAATTCGCCCTCGTGTTTCCCCAGAGACGATGAATACACAGAAGCCAGCGGATATTCAGGGAGCAGGCACCGCCTTCGCTAGGTACATGATAAAATTATTTTCCTCTCCTAGCACCATCGGATGAGGAGACTTCTGGCGCAGTAGTTGCGACTGATCACTTGCAAGAACACACAAAGGATTTCGACCCCCGGTGGCTATTTATTTTTGGGAGTCATGGGTTCGAGCCATCCTGCCGACCCTACCATTTCGCAGTCTGTATTTCTTACCGAGTGTGGCCGAAATCAAGGGATACCATGGCAAATGAGGCCATTAATGATTATATTCAGGAATATTTTCTACCCCACAAGCAAGACAGACACTGAACGGAACAATGAACAGGGCTTGGGAATCACTACTACGCTCCCCCAGAAGCTCCAGCCGCAAGTATCACCATCTGCTGCATCCGTCTCCGATCAACCTCCTTCTTCAACATGCAGACACAACTCGCAACAACCAGCACCTCCACCGCCTCTCTTCTACCGTCCTTCGAGTCAACCCACCTCATCACATCGAGCATCAATCTGCCCCCATTCCCCGCCGTTGTGCGCCCAGTTCCCCGCGTCCTCGTTTCCTTGCCACGAACAAACTGCGCGATTCTCGTCTTGTTCTCCTCCGTCTTCTTCCCGCCTGCCAGAGCGACGGTCTGCACGAGCTCACAGACGAGTAGTTGGTCGGCGTCAGGCACTGTAGCGCGTTCTTTGCGCGTGGCATAGCGCCACTGGAAGGTTCCCACTGGCGTCTTGAGAATCTGGGTGCGGGAGGTGAGGGACTTGGAGACGATCTGGAGGTCTGCGGCGCTCACGTCTACCTCGCGGTGACCATTCTCCTCTTCTTGGAGTGATACCTCCGTCGAAGAAGAGCCAGAAGAAGCTGGAGGCGTGGGTACGTGAAACGGCGCGAGAGCCTGAGACGGTCGGAAGATGGGAGGCTTCCCCGGCCCGAAGCGGTAGAGCATCGTGCATACGGGTGTCTGAGATGCGTCGTCACCCCTAAGGAGGTGGCAGCTCCCGTCATTCCGCGAGAAGCGGAGGGAGACGTATGCCGGGACAGATTCCGCGCTCCAGGAGCCCGCTTCGACGTGGTAGATTGCGATCGGATCGGGCCGGGTGCCGACGGGGAGCGAGAGCCATTGCTTTCCGGTGGTTTCGATCTGCAAGTGAACTGTGGGGGTGAAGAAGTCTCCTGGGGAGGAGGGCTCTGGGCCGCCATCACTGCTGGGCACGGCTTCCGTGTCTTGCGGGGTGACGGTTGTTGTTTGATCGTAGGCTGGTGGTGCAGGACTGGAATCCGATGATGTCGATGGTGAGATATCTGCGAGCTCGATGCCTGTTGCCGAGGAGTATGTGGGCAACGAAGAATTGCTGGGCACAGTGTGCAATTCGTCTGCAACGATCGTGGTCGACATGACGGACACGGACAGCTATGCTAGTCTTTAGATGAATATGTTATTTGTATCAGAGACGACTCTGCCTTGAAGACAGGACGAGATAGTTATGCCTTAGGTACGTCGCGAACAAGAGGAAGGCAATATGGGATGCCAATAGTCTTCGTTTTCGACCAGGAAGGAAACACTCTTGACTTTATCCTTCTCACGCGTCCCGGGACTTTCTTCACTGCAGTGCAATAGGACGGAAGGCAAACTCACATAATCTCTTGCCAGAAAAGCCTAGTAAGACACTGCCACCAAAATTAGTCGAATGCGATGAATGCGACGACGGCGGACTTTTCTCTGCGGACTTTCCGCCGATTCGAAAACTCAATATTTCATTATTTCGCCTCACTGATCTCTGACCAATGAAGATTCTTCAAATGTATCCTCGAATTCAAGATGTAAGACGCGCAGAAAGCCTTCGAGATTCGACCTGTAGTGATCACGTTAAGTGAGGATAGTCTGTCAGCCCAAAGATTCAGGAAGGCTTCACTTTCCAGGAAGGCTCAGCTGCATCGAAACACCTACCGCCTCCGCCTCCACCCCCAAGCCCCACCAGCGCGCTCTTTCACCGTATTCCTCGCATGTCTTACTTTCTAGGTACTTTATCGAGAATCGACAACAAACTGGGCATTCTTCAGCCGAATTTGTCGTCCATGCAAGCACCTCGTCAGGCATCCTCTCGGACGCCAATTGGTTTGCACGGCCCCACCTCCGGTCCGTCGTATTCCTCGTTTCGTACCAACCGTCCAATCATGTACGCCACCACCGGGGCGGTGCGGTGCGCCTGTGGTTGATCGGGGAGGGGCAGTGCCGGCGGGCGGTGACGAGTGGGGCTGTAAACGGCACTCACCGAGATCGTTTGCCCTGCTGATGAAGATCGGCAAAGATCTCTTTTCTCCTGCCCACCCCGCTCGCTCTCCATGGGGACGTTATGCTTGTCTATCGGGGGCGTTCGTCTGGTCTGTGAGTAAGTGGATATTGAGCCAAAGGAATTAGGTTCTCAATCAGATAACTAGATCGTCGGACGGGAAGGGCTTGACACATCGTGTTCGCTCTTGCGGATACGATGCGTCGTCTGTCAAACAACACTGGTCATTTTCACTTGCAATTTTGACAACAGATTGTCCAAGTCTTGACAGCTCTCAATAGATCGGAAATGTTTCAGAATGAATAAAGATGTGGTGAAGACAGTATCACATGAACCTCCGCCAGCAAAACTTTCCTCAAAACTTTTTCCCAAAAAAGGTCAGGTCCTGCTTAAGCTGCTCCTCTACCCATAAAGGCCACCGATTATACACCAAATGCTCATGGTCGATCTGCCGATTTAGGTACCCAAGCCACCGAATGATGCCCAGATCCACCGCACTCTTCTTTGGCGGCGCCTTCTCGCGACATTCGTGCTCGGCGTTGGTCACCGTGGCCATGATCTGCTTCAGCGCGATCCAGTGGCTGGCCAAGAGGACCATCGTCTGCGAGGTCATGTCGATGACGCGTTGGAACTTTTCGTGCGGAAGCTGGATCCACCAGCCGTAGTGCTTCGAAAGTGTCTGATACGCTGTTTGAGCAACTCGGTTGTTAGTGGTTCACTTATAGTATAATGAAGGGAGGACAGGCCAGGGATTCCATATTTTAGGGAGAATAACGTACCCTTCCAAGACGAAGTATGCAGCTTCGTCGCCATATCCAAAAGAAGCTCAAAATACTCAACCTCCACCACATCCCGACAGAGACCCCTCAACCCACCAACCGCCTCGACAGCACCGTCCGCCCACTCGGTCCGAATCAGCGGCAGGTCCACCATCTTGGGCTCCAGCACCGCGCTCGAGTCCTGCCCCATCAAGTTCACAAAGATGGGCTTGATGCCCTTGATGTACATCTGCGTGCCGATGATCAAGATGCCGCGGATGAAAGTCATGTACTCGGTCATGCCGTCCTCAAACGTCACGGACTGGAACGTGAGCGCGAAGCACGTCGCGACTAGGGCGTTGGCGTGCTCCGGCGTCGTGCCCTTTTGCTTCGGCAGCTCGGCGAGGGACTTTTTGATGGCTCTTATGGCCTTGATGCGGTGCGCCATGGCGAATGCCAGGAGGCTCGGGTCCGCGTTCATGAGGTCGCAGGCTGCCATCCCGAGAATTGCGTGCATGAGAAATTCGTTCTGTACGGGTTCAGTAGGGTCTCTCATCAATTCAGTTCGTAGAGCTCACGGTTTGGGACAAGCATGGAACCTCATGGGTCCAGATGTTCTCGTTACCTATCGGGTGGTGAGGGTAACATTGTAGCATAAAGTGTTGGAAGAACCGCATATCTTGCAAACTGAACAGCGGCACTTGATGTTGCGGCTGGGTACACTACATTAGACAATGCATATGGATTACAAATGTTGCAATTGACATACTTGGTGCACAATCATCGGAGCATTGGGATACTCGCACTTCAAGCCCATTTTGTTACAATGCCCACATGATGGTTGCGTCTCTTGGCACTTTTATATACAACGTCAGTATGCGAGAGAGTGGAAATTGATGAGAATGCCAGCTCACCTTGATACGCCTTCTCTTGCAGTTGAAGCATCCTCTGCGACTTTTGGTATGCCCTCGTCTCTCAAGTCGCTGCTTCTGAGCGGGACCATGGCGAGACGAACCTCCTCCGCTTGGCCCTGAAGCGGAGGCCCTGTTCGTGGGTGACTCGGAAAGAGTCTCGCTCGAATACGTATTCTCATCTCCGAGCAACATGTCTTCACCTTGGAAGAAGGCCCCATAGTCAAAATCACTAAAGCTTGGGGCGGCTACGATGAGAGGAAGTGATGAAGGAGCGGTGTCCATGATGATGCAAACTTGGCTGCTTGAGTGCTTGAAGGCCTAAAAGCCAGTGTGCGAGTTTGACTATAGACGGTTTGAACGGTTTAGTTTTGATGAATAGCTTCAACGGTCAACCTGCAGTAATTGACGTCGCTTTCAGCTAAAGCTGGTGCCAAGGCAGCCACGTCACGTGTGGCAGCACCAAAGATTGTCATCGTGGCAGGGCGTCGGGCGATCGATAGGCCGCCACAAGTCTTAGATCAAGCGTTGCTAGATGCCATTGGCTGCCGATCACCGGCAATCGCAACTGATGTTTGCATTTCGGAGGCTGTGCTTGACAAGGCTGTCTGAGGACATTACCGAAAATCTCTCCCCGTTCACTGAACGACAGCGTCTGGGCTTTGATGTGAAGAATGGTTGAGTGCAGCCTCAGTTCGCCGCGCCGCCGATGAAGTTGGTGATGCCGAAAACTGGGCCTCTTCCGAACGGACGGCTGCCGGGGTGGGGTGAGACGAAGCGCCCGCTCTCCTCTACGTCTCACATCGGAATAAGTTGCCGTGCTCCACCTTACCTCCAAGATGGGAGTGTCTCAAACAAACTGTAGAGATTGCGGGCGATCCTGCACTCAATCATTTGATCCATTTAGCTACACCACGGATGAAAACGAGGAGACATTAGGCAGGAAACAACGAACTCGGTCACCAATCTCGGCAACTTAATTGAGGATTCAAAACTGGAATCATCTGTCGAGTGTCAATGCTGAGAGGCGCCTATCGAACATTGATGCCAAAGAGCTGGGTAGTGTCTATTTCTTGCCTATAGAAATGCTTCTCGGGCACGGTTTTCTTGTAGGGTGCATCGGCTAGGCCTAGTCACATTACAATAAGCCAGTACAGTTCACTTGGCAAGATGTCTGCCAATAGAAGCAAATGATCATTCGGTTACGTGACATGCCTAGTCTCCTTGGAGTCAACCTCTAAACCCTAATGGCTGTCGGTTGAGTCGTTGGAGAACACTCAGGGACTGTTTCGATGTCGCAAGCAAACCTAATTGCGGATAGACACGCCGCCGTCCTTGAGCTGACCTCAATCGATGGATGAGTGTGTCCGACTTATTGACGGGATTATTTGCATGCAATCCTGCAGGAGCAGACTTGAATAGATGTCAACGACTGCAGCTGAGCCAACACCGTTACATGTGGGAGGACAAGCATATGAACAGGAATAACCCAATCCTGGACGAAACGAAAACAGTAGAGTCACCTAGAGCTGATGTAAGGAAGCTGGAGTGGCTTGCAGCATGCAACCTGCAGGTAAGACCGTAAGACATATGTCGGGAAGAAACGCGCCAGACTCCAGTATGAGGAAGCTAGAGTAACCATAAAGTGAGAATTATGGAAACATAAGTCCTTACGGATCCTCTTTGCGCTTGTCGTCGCGCATGAGACAGTTCAACCTTAATAAAGATTGGCATCGGATGAAAGCAATGCGTTCGCTCACTGGGCGACCCTCGAGGTCGGCTGTTCGGATCGTGGGTGCAACTATCCGACGTTTACTGCGTAACGATCTCGGGCGGGGTTGACAATACCCAAAGGAGCAGAACTAGACGGCTGGCAGTGCCGAAATGATTACGTACGTCGTGATGAATCGTACTATTTAGGAGCAAAGCCTCGTGTCCTGATATTGTCGGACCTTGCGCGGGCCGGGGCTCTGAGTCGCGTGCTATGGAAGTCGGCTTTAGCCTCTGAAGAAGCAGTGAGCCTGGCAGACTGCCAGTGAGTCCGAATGATCTGAGCGTCCAGAACGGTATTCACTGCCCTGATGGAGGACAGCGGCCGGCATGGCAGTCCCGGGTCATGGAGCCGGTGACATTCCGAGGCTCTAGCTTCGGCGTGGCGCAGTGTAGCCCTGGCTGTCGCATCCCGGCACGTCTTGCCCTGGGCTGGAAGAGGACGAAATCCTGCTCGACTAACAAGCTTTGGATGATCCGGAGGACTGGCCGCTGGCCTCATCGGCTCTTTGTCAGGGCGGCAGGGAAGTAACGGGACAGACTGGGCGAGGAATGTGGGCGGCTGTCAGAAAAGGGCCAAACATGTGGAAGTAAAGTGCCAAAATGGGCGTCGTGTTAGAGTGAAATGGTGCTCTGATGGATGGGATTCGCTGGACGTGTGCCCCGTGGCGGCGGAAGCTCATTTCGCTTAGGGTTTCACAGCCGGCGCCTTGGGGTCTGGCTTGCCCGGATTGCTGGCCCTCCCGGGTCTGACGCTGTCGAACAGTCGTGGAATCCCCCGAGGCGACTCCATCTCCCGCGCTGAGAGTCTGGACTTGGTGCGCGGTCGATTTTCCCTGGCGATCCATCTGGGTCCACGTAACCGGCTAGCCGTAAAGAGGAAAAGGCGCAAAAGGGTCAAGACAACGACAACGTGGGGCCAGCCCAAAGTGGTGAAACGGGTCAAAAGCGCGGGTCTTATCGTGCTCACACGAATACGGAGTAGTCGACTCGGATTGGGCCTATTCTCCCATGACAATGGCATCAGTCCTTCGGGTTGCCCCAAGCGCGGGGCTGCCGTCCCAAGTCGACCGTCGTCATCCTTTGTTCGTCTGATACATACTGGGCGCTGCGGGATGGGACACGAAAAGTCGTCGTAGGGTCCGCCCTGCCCACTGAAGCCATTCGCCATGCCAACTAGGACTATTCAGCCTGAGGGCCTCGTCAGTACTGGGGGCGTGGTCAGCGCCGCGCAGGCGTCAAAGAAGACCCCCCCCTCCCCAGGGAAGGTGACTCGTTGGCTCCGAGGCTTCTCACTGAGGGCCACGCAAGGGCAGGCGAGACGACGAAGGGGCTTTCCCGAGCGGCAATGTCCGGCGACAGTCTTGCTCTAGTTGACATTGATAATTCTGGACGTCTCCCTGGTGATGGCAGGCGCAGGGCTTTTGCCATAAGAGAGCCATGGTCGATGGAGGTCGACCGAGGGAGGAGAGGGAGCGGGGGCCAAGGCAATAATGACGATATTGGAGAATAGTGACTTGGTGTTGGAGGCGAAAAGAGAGGGATTTTTCTGCAGCAAGAGACTTTCATCAATAGCAGAGCGACTAAGATGTTGACGGAGGTACAGATAAGGCACTCAACCACTGACCCCGAGCGAAACGTCAAGGCTTTCATGTTGCACTCAGCAACGCGGCTAGCCAGTCGAGCCTAAAGTGCTAAACTCAACGGTGACAGATGTAACTTGTGTGCTTGGAAGCAAGTGATGGTAGGAACAAAACGACGTTCTGATTCTCACCTACCATCGGCTGCCACCTGTGCCTTCCTCGCCAGCCAGTGCGTGCATCAACTTCTTGCAGCCGCTGACTGGCACAACTGGGTCGGATGGAGAAGGGGGCCCGGCGGTTGAGGGGATAAGCAAGGAAGGGGACTCTTGTGATGAGGTATCTTTTAGCCGCGATGGCACTCAAAAGATACGAGACGAGGTCGTATCGAGCGACGTATCCTTGGCGCCCGGTGTTTCCAAGGTTGCGCCGTGGTGCCGGTTCCTGCAGCATTTGCCCCCCGTTCCTGCATAAGCCAGGGGTGAAAATGGCGCTTCTTGGTCCATTCGCCGCTCAGCCGTTGGCTCTCCCATGGGCTATTTCTTCCAAGTTCCAAGCAGCAAACCTTTCCCTTCCCCTCTTCTTGGCTCTTCGCTGCTTGTTGTCACTGGGAAGCTGGCCAAGAAAAAAAAAAGGGCCAGCCAGGCCAGCATCAGTAGTGGAAGGGCGAAAAGTCCATAGGCGAGCGCTAGTCCGTCGCTGAGGTGTGAGTGGGCGACAACCCAAAACAATCCAGATGTGACTGTCCGTTTCTCCCTCGTTTGGCACCATTCGACTAGCTATTGAAGCTGGATCTGGTCAATTTACCATTGCCCTAGAGTTGGAGAGCCAGGAGCCAGTGAAACCGAGACTCCATTAATTAAGGAATAGAGCCCAAATGGCTGGAAGAAGGAAATGGACCGTTGGCTCTGGAACACAGATCCTTGGCAATTGAACAATGGCATTGAGTTGAATTGTGGTGACTGACCTGCTTGGAATGTGTCTTATGTCACTGTGGATGTCTCTGATGCTGCCAGCCCGGCAGTTCTTTGGCTTCTCCGCTCCGGGCAGCAATTTTTTTTCCTCTGGAGGGGATCGAGGTTGAAGAGTCGAGGAAGTCCTGGGTAATCATCTGTCATCAGGACGCAACGCCAGCACACCATCCCGGTTGTGCTGAGTGCCTCTCCCGCCTGCCAAAGAGTCAGTTCAGTCTAGGAAGATCGAGAGTGTCCAGACCACAGGGGGGGGGGGGGCGGCAGGAACCACAAATTGGCCGGGATCTGCAGAAAAAAAGCATGGCCTGTGAGTCGCTGATCCCCCCATAGAAAACAAAATCTGAGCAAGAAATCGGACGAAGCAATGGGACGAAGCAATGGGACAAAAAGCTCTGATGAACTGCCCGGGGGGCGGCAGTTCCCACTTTCAAATCCACCTGTTACTGTTCACATAGATATCGATCACATGTGTGTAACCACGTATGTAGACGGGTTTTCATGCAAGTCCAGCAAAGAGAAGTCATTGAAATGTGTAGGTACGGGGTATCTTGCGGATAGCCTACAACCACGACAACCCGACATGAATAGCAACGACCAAAAAGGGCCGCAAGTCAGGGAGGTACGTAACTCCTTCAGGAAGACGACTGTCCTAACAAGGGCACGCTCCACCTGCCACGGTTGTAACTGGCAGGAGCGATCACTACCGCACCACATCCCTTCCCGGAAAGCGCGATACATCCGGCCCGCTTGCCCCCTGCTTCTCCTAGTGCGCGCGGATAGGCAGGTACGGAGGAAGGGGTCACCACGACAGTTCGTACCTCCTCCCTCCTTCCTCGTGGTGAATCGAAAATCAGCCCCGTTGGCTCCAGTCAGAGTCGTACCTCTGGGTCTTTGGGTTGCCATCTTCCATGGGTGGTGTCTTTTGCTGGCGTAGGTAGGTACCTGTGTCTCTGCAGCCCCG